CACCCCCCACCCCCCAACATCCCATTTTTCTTGGTGACTAATTGATGATGACAGATGTCACCTGCGCAGTGACACCAGCCCTGCCTTCACAGCTCCAAGGGGGAGAGCAACAGCGCTTCCCTGGGCACGAGAGCTGATCAGTGGTGGGTTTGCCCATTGTTTTCAGGTTTGGTTTTTTTTACAGTGTAGTGTCAGTCAGTTAATAAGATCTCTTCACTGCATGAGCGTAAGCAGCCGTTAGGGCAATATTTGCCATTGATTTTTTTTTTTTTTTTTTCCTTGCAAATGCAAATAGCAATTTTCTCGTCTGTAAAAGGAAAGAAATGGAACATAACATGCAGACAGATGTGTGTGCGGGCGTGCCTGTCTTTCACATGCACGGGAGGAGAGAAGTGCGTGCACGTACCAGCCTGTCTGAGTCTCCCCTTGGAGAACTGCTGGCCAAGCTGTGTCCAAAACGAATTCGGGTGTGAAAACAGAACTATCTCAGATTTCCTGAGGTTAAAGAAATGATAGGAAAGTAGTTTGTATCATTTATAGGAGACTTTTTAATAAAATAGTGGGTAGTGCCTGTGCTGAGAGCACGCTAAGAGTCGCTGGCACAGCAGTGATGGGTGGGTGGGTGTCGCGTATGTCCGTGGAGGGCTGCAGCTGACAGCCTGGGGAACACCAGCTCTCCAAAAATAAGTGAAACCGCTAAAATGCCTCCTTTTGTGGCAGAGCTGCAGTCACAGCTGGAGCATTGCCGGTGCCAGGCGTCTCTTCACACCCAGCATCCTTAGACCTTGGCCAGCAGGACTTGGTCTTCGTTGCCGTGACCCAGCCTGTTTTTTTTGTGTAGGGTAGCTCTTAGCTGACAATGATCTGAGAAAAATGAAATCGCTTTCTTTTAACTCTGGGCTTTACTGCGACGATGCGAACACTGTCACCCCCGTAGATGCTCTCCTCCTGTCAGCCCCCGGGCAAAGCTCCTTGCCTTGCCTTCCCTGCCTGCATCCTGCTGCGGGCTCACCTAATTATTCTCAGCTCCCCAAAGGGGCCGCAGTTGAACAAGGTGTTGGTTTTGCACGTTTAACAGCGGGTAAGTGCCTTGGTTACACCTTCTTTAAAACAGCTCTCAGTGTAACCATGGGGCAGAACTGCCCTGGGTTAATGGGAATTACGGAGTCTTGTAGTTCTGTACTGCACTGCTGAATTTCAAACTGAGTGTGCACAGCACATCTTTTGACTCTTACAGGGGATCCGGACAAATTATATTTTAACCTGCACCGTTCCATCGTTAGTTACTGTTGCCTGCTTCAGCCCCATCACCCGTTTCGCCTCTCTGACCACCCGATGTGTGCTCTTCCCTGGACGTTCCTCCTGGCCTCTCTTCTTGCTCCCCGCAGGAGCACACCTCGGCTTTCAGATCTTGCAGGGAGCACCCCGTTTCCCAGCTGTTTATCCTTCTCTTGCTTTCCGTGTTCTTTGCCACCCCTTTGGGGGCTCTTCCCTTTGGAAGAGGAGGAAAAAATGAAAGCTGTTGACTCTTCTCTGGGAGTCTCTCCCTCCAAAACCTGTCTGTGCACCAAACGGGGCTGGAGGCCTGTGCATCTTGGTTTCCCACCTGCTGCTGAAAGGTGGTCAGACGTTGCAGTGATGAGCAGAGACTAAAACCCTAGAATAGCGTGGATGGTTTGCAGGTGTAGGCTAGAGGGCAGTTCAGATGTCCTGAGTTTCACGGGGGTAGGGAAGGGTCTGTTAGTGCTGGTTTTTGTGGCATGGCCCTGGGCTTTTTCCCTTCGCTAGCTGCCGTTCCAGCTGCAGCGTCTCGTGCTCCACCCTGGGAGCAGATCCCGCTTGCTCCTCTGCAAGCACCTCCTGATCAAGAGGAGTGTGTAGCAGGCGATGCACTGGCTTGCTTTTCATGGAGGTATCCCTCTTTCTTAGTTTCAGATCACGCCGTTTAGAAGGAAACTAGCCTCCTTCCTCCCCCTGTCACAACCCAGCAGTTAAGCTGTTATCCTTCCATACTCCTCTCTTGCCTGTATTTGAGAAAATGAGGCTGGAAAGAAAAAGAGAAGCACTAGCGGGCATTTAGCTTCCGATGTGGTTGTTACCGCATAGGGTGGAACGATCAAAATCTCCCCAGTCTCTGTGAGATTTGGTGTTTCAGATACGCACGTGCCATTTCCAGAGCGCTTCTGGCCTAATCCTGCGGGGTGATGAGTCGGGAGTGTATCCCCCGTGCGGTAACATCAGGCGTTGTTGACACACGTGAACTTCGGTGATTTATAACGAGGTTCGTAATGTCATAAAAGAGGCATAATAAAAATTAGTGCTGCATGACTTGTTTCTAAGAACATCATTATGGCACCAAGTAATAATGAATTACTGTGCAAGAAGCCAGAAGGGAGGAAGTACGTATGGCAATGAGGACAGATCTTTTATTTGGTGAATTAGTACCGCTGCATATGGGCTGAAAAATCTCGAAGCATATGCTGACGTACCGTGACATCGTGGCGTGTGCTCCGTGTCGTTGGTAAAACCTGACGCGTGCGAGCGCGTCAAATGTGGATGTGCGCGCCCACGTACGAGCTGCGCCAGCGTGATCTCTGCTGGCGTTCGGGGGATGGATTTGAGCACAGGAGGCCTGAAGAAATGCTTTTTGGCTGCGACACCTTGAAACAGCGTTGTGTGGTTAATCGGCTGGATGAAGACTGGAAAGGCTGGGTTGGGTAAATGGTCCTCAGGAAGGGTAAGAGGAGTTGCCCGGGTATAAAGAGCGTTTTGTTTGGCTGTAATTAATGAGATAACAGTAACTTGTCCCATCTGATGCTTACGTGGGACAGTAAATTACACCTATTTCGTATCTCCATAAAGGTCATCTGATGGAACGTCTTGGTTATTTCCTGGCTGTTGGAAACAGGACCAAAATGTAATTATTTAATGATCAGACCAAAACGCTGCAATTCGTTTGGGTCTTGTTTCTCACCCATTCAGTCACTTCATGTGGGATGATGGGAGCTCCTGGATCCATGTCCCAGGGCTTTCCTGGGGAACATCTTCCAGCTGCAGGTTAGTGTTGGGTTTTAGAAGTGGCGTGGAGGATGGGGGATGAAATCCATCGTTACATCATGAAATTTCAGGGGAAATTTTTTAACTGTTTATGTGAAATGCGGAATTTTTCCTTGCGTTCCCCTCTCAAGGCAGTGCTTGATGGCTTAACCTCAGTGGTGCCTCCAGACAGATGGGCTCCAGGCCCCAGGATCCCTCCATCAAAGGGTATGCATCATACCAAAACCAAGTTTTTTAGTGGCAAAAACCCTCCATCCTCAGCCGTTTTCCTCGGATCTGGAGGAAAACGTCTCCTGGTTACTGTCCCAACCTGCTCATGAGTGTATCTGGAATGTGCAAGTCATGGATTGCTTTTATGTTCCAAGTTTATCAAAAATGAATCTTCCGGTGTTAAAAGTTAACGCTGTGTAAAAATATGTCTCTTCTCATGGGCGGGTCCTCGTTGTGGTCTGTTAGATTAGAAACAATTCGTGATGTGTCACGCATTTAGTATAATTGCAAATTCAGATTTGTATGATGGGCAGTGCCAGGTGAAATTAGGCAGCTCATGCTCTACACCTCAACTTTCTGGTTTGTTTAGAGTGGTTCTTTCTCTAGTGTACATAAATACTGATTTTTATTTTCTTCAAAGAACATCAATTAAGAATTTTTTTTTAATCCCCTTTAAAAAATTTAATCAAATTTTTAATTAATTTTTTTTTTTCAGTCCATCACTGCCGTGTGGGTGCCAGCCACGGGGTCTGTAAAGCATCTCTGACGCTTTCCCCCAAGAAGGAGCGTTGACCCTGCAGCTTCCTGAGCTGCCCGCGGTTCTGCTGTTCAGTGGCACGGCCCGTTAACATAAAAGGGCTTTCTGTAAAATGAGAGGTGTCCACGTTCTAAAAAATGGTGATTCCACCAAAATTGGTATCTATTACAGATCTTATGTGAGGATATATTACTGGAAGGATGCCTCACCTTTTCAGGTGCGAGGTGTTACCTATAGAGAGGTATTGCTCTCTTGAGTTACAGCAGCGAGCTGTTTTCTCACTTATAACTTTCACAATTTGCTCTGTGGAAGGTGTAAGATGGGTCAAAAAGGTTCTGAATAAAAACAAATTTAAAAAAAAAGACTAAATTCTCTGAATGCAGGAGTGCAACGGAAGGGTGGATTGGCCAGGCTGTGTCTGTAGTGAGCAACACCAGACAATGAGCACTTACTTGATGTTTGTGTTAAAAATCGTGTTAAAATTGAAATTCCATGTGAATTGCTTTTCCTTCTAACACAGAGGACTTGGAGATGAGATTCTAACAGTGAGATTTTGGAGATTTTTTTTTTTCCCCCCCCAGAAATTAAATGCTTAACTTAAAGTGCGAATTTTCCTTCTGTGTTTAAATATATTTAGTGAAATTTTCAAAAGTCTTTTAAGACTGAAATAGTTTATTGAACTCTCTATATTGAAAAAAATCTATCGAGGAATGGAAATAGTTGTTAGAAGGCATAACAATATTTTGAGGTAGTGTCGTGGTTGAAAATTTTTGTACGATGTCTTGAAATGTCATGTCGGCATCAAGGAATGTGGGATATTTAGGGAAAGTGTGATTTGCAGCAGGAGGTTGAAGATTGTAAGTGTGATAGTTTTCTCATTTTTGCTGAAAAAATACCAAATTTCAAATCTTATCCACAAGCTCTAATTGACAGTATTTTAAAAGTATAGATAGCCTATAGTAGATGTTCTTATTTTAAAGGACTCCAAGTGTGAAACAATGGCAATTGCTTGAATAGTCTTTGCTTAGGTAAGGTTATAATGTTAAAAAAAAATAATAGATGGATAAAGTCATGAACATTAACCACTTTCTGTGAGATATAGACAGTCCCTATATATAGCCCGATCTCTTTCTGTCTTCGTTTATCTCCCTGAAAAATGAGTATAATATTTAATTTAGGCAGGTGGCAACATGGTGTGTGTGTAACAGGCTTAAATGTTCCGTGTGAATTCAGCACGAGTAACTACAAACGTGCAAATTTTAATTGTTTTAAAAGCAGAACCGTCAAACTCATCTTCATCAGTTCAGAACTTGGTCCTCAACGCGTATCACCGGGATAGCTTTGAGATCAATGTTGCTGACGTCCAAGAGCAACATTTTCTGTATGCACAGTAAATTTTTCATCTTAAACTTACAACTTCTTTCCCTTTTCTGTCAACTTGATAAATATGTTAAAAAAGAAAAGGGGGGGGGGGGAAATGAATATTTCTTTGTACAGAGGTGCAAAACCCATGCTCTGTGTGTATGTGTATATATATATAAAGTCACTCAAGTGAGAACTTGAGATGGTTTGTAACTTGGATTTGCACCCCTGTCTTCTACTGGGAGAGGCTCGTAAATAAACCCGTGCCATCTATTGCCACCTCTGCTTAGCAATAATAATGTTATAACTTCTTGATACCAGATCCCTTGTGCGATATAATTACCAGGTTGGGTTTTTTTTCATTCATTCGTTCATTCATTCATCTTCTCTTCTTGTATATCCCACATAAACTTTTGCTGGTCTCTGAAAATACCATTTAAAGGGTGAACAGTTGCTGCTAATAGGATCTCCTCCCTACCTGCCTGCAAATATGTTTTAAAAAAATCCCAAACCCCAAAAAAACCCCTGTGAAAAGTATGACTTTTTTAACTAGGTCTCATTCCCATTGTATTTAAAGCAAACAGCCCATGACTGCTGCGTACGGGAAGCAGTGGTGAAAGGGGATGTCGTGCAAGGGATATTTTGCCCTTAGTTGTTTTCAGACCCCATAAATAGTTGGCCTTGTGCATGTTTTATAACTGGTCTCTATTCTACCATTAAAGGCTGTGAAAAAGCAGGTCCTGAACATCTACATCAAGCGTATTTCTACGTTGTTGAAGAACATTTGCTTTGGGCGTGCGAGGATGGGTTATACTGGGAAAATAGTAATAATAAGGTCACAAACTCCCAGCTGATTCTGCCTTTAAAATACCGGGGGGATTTGTTTCTGAATTTGAGGTGGCTTCCTAAATGGAGGCGGGAAGATCAGTTCCTATCGTCAGGCCTATGTTCACACCTTCTCTGTTGATTATATAGTCATTTATACATGTGGAAGATGAATTGGTTTTATGCTCGCTTTGTACAGAGCTGGATGATTATTCACACTGCCACGAGAGCAGAGAAAGATGCACTTTGCGAGGAGTTAATATAAACCACATCAGGCTAAAATCAGAACCTGTCAGACTCTGACGAAGATGGTTTAACCAGTGGTGGATTGATCTTGTGTAGTCATATGAAAGATTGAAGGATTTCAGACATTACTTGCTGAGATAATTTCAGGTTATATGTCTCTCTATATTGTACTGTTGTACTGTGTATGTTTGCTGTTCGCTGCTAGCAACAATCAAAGCAAAATTGCTTTTGTCAGTGATAGCTCTACAGCGTTTACTGAAAGCCAGAGTAACACACGCTTAGTGGACTGGAGCTTCAGTCCCAATCTTGCTGCTTTTCACCTCAGTTCGTCCTTGTTATTTTCAGAAGCTGGCACCTAGCAGGTCAGCCGGGCGTGAGGTCACGAAGGGTATGGATTCCCCTCCAGATTTTAGGTACTTACTCAGTATGTTTAAAGGTAGATACAACTGTTGGGTAGTTTGAGTAGCTCTTTGGGCTCCATCATCTGTGTCAGGTAGATGACCTCTTTTTCTATGGGGGGAGCTTAGACACCCGTATGTACATCGTCACCTGGATGTACACGTCTGGACTGGGGGCTGATCATAGCACAAGCCTCTGAAGTCTAAACGGGCTTGGATGGAAGAGAGGGGCCAGATTGCCATGCTCTACCGGGAGGGTGGATGTTTGGTGGAGGACCCACGGGCCGGGGTGTTTTATGGGAGAACTCGGTGTTTCTACAGACCTTTCAGGCGCCAGCGTGGTTAATAACGGGGATTTTCCTGAATTGCTGTGTTCGATTTAAGTATCAGAACTCAACTGGAGAAGCCTCGTAGGTTTGTCCGTGTGGCTTTTCTGCAGTCGTGCCCTTGGTACTTCTCTAGAGGTGTTTACCCACCGCAGCCCGCGTGCCGAAGGTGACAACGCGCTTACACTTAGGATACGTGAGTCAACACATCAAATAGATCAGAAGCCCCACTCCGCTTGCTCTGGCCGTGATGCAAAATGGTCGCGCCATCATAATATAAATGTAGACAGAATTATACTGTAGCCTCGTGATTGCACATTATTTAGATCAGTGGCCCGTGACTAAGGACGCTAAACACGGTCTCAGTGCAAATAATGGATCACAACTTTGCAGCCAAAAGAGCTGAGACTGTGGCTCGGTATTTTCTTTCACCACATCATTACTCTGGGAATGCCAGTGGGAAATTCCTTAATTCCCTCTGGTTTTGGATTGAGCACAATAAGTAAGAGGTAATAATATTTCTTACTAATAATAGCAGTATTAGTGCCTTTTAATAATAATTTAGGGATAATGTAAGGAAATGCTGAGCTAGTATTCAGTGAACATCCTGCTTTTTCCATAAAGCTGTTTAGGTAATACAACGCTGTTAATGATCTCACAGTAAATTAATGCTACTAATATAGTTCACAGTCTATGCGTAGGGACTGACCAAAACCAGATTTGCAATGACGAAAAAAAAAAAAAAAAAGCTTTTTGGTTCAATACCAAAGGTGAAAACCTGCTGTTCAGGTACTGTTCTAAAATGAATTTTACTGCTTGAACCTGCAGTTTAGGCATTTCTGGGTTTTGCACGTAGACAGAACCTTTTTCCATGGGGAAAGGTGTTAATATTAAGTTTCACTGTCTTTTTCTTTTCATTTTTTCCCCCACTTTGATGCAATTACCTAGCGAGTCGTGTGCTGAAGCGCCCTACTTAGTTTCTGCTCTTCCCGACCCCATTGGTTTTAGGCTTCAGGCTGTGAGTGGTCAGTTATTGCTAGTTTGTGGGGTTAAATACTTCTGCTGCTTGGGGCACAAGACAACAAAGCCTGTGCACTAGGAGTGAGCAAAGGAACGTACCGGACCGATCACTTGTACGAGAAATAATTTCCAGGTATCCTGGGGAAGTAGCCTGCTCGAGTTCTGGGGGTTGCTGCTCACTTTAGAGGGTGGTTCAGGATGATGTATTTTAAGGTGTGATTTTACTGTTGTTTTTTTTTCTCTCTTTCATCCCCTGTCATTTTATTCACGTTTATTCCATGCCGCCTTGGCCCTTTGTTCCGTAACACCTCAGCTCTGACCTCCACGGCACCTCCCTCCCGCCCCAACACCCCCGTGACACCGGCCTCTCTGACTGACTCCTCTCCTTCCCCTCCAGCTGTCCCAAGTTCCAGTGTCCTCCCCTCTGCCCCCCGAGATGTGGTCCCTGTTTTGGTCTCCAGCCGATTTGTCCGTCTCAGCTGGCGCCCACCCGCAGAAGCCAGAGGCAGCGTCCAGACGTACACGGTCTTCTTCTCCAGGGACGGCGTCAACAGGTAGGTGTCAGCAGCGCGCGGTTCTCCTCTGGGTGGGACGGGGGGGGGTGGATAGTCCTGAGAGTGCCTGAGGTCTTTACAAGTATCTTGCAAACGGTTCTGAGTCTTGCGGTGATCTCCCCGTGGTGAAAGAAGCGTGAAGCTAAAGGGCCTTTTGTTGCCGAATACTTTTATAGACGTCGTATCGACATTTGTCTGTCAGCGCTCGTTGTCGTGGTGTGAAGGACCATTTGCGTTGACAGTGACGCCTGTGGATCTTCCCTCCTCCAGTCACTATTACTTGACCGTCTAACGTGAAGTGTTGTTAGCGCTCCGTATTTTACCTTTCATCTTCCTTGGAAGACAGGCTCGAGTGTTCTTTGCGTCGCAGGTGGAGGTGAATTCGTTGAGCGCTAATCAAGCGGAGAGGAGGACTGCTTTTACAGCAGTGCAAATGGCGAGAGACCTTGAAAACGGCCAGGGAGTGAGTGGCGAAGGTTTTACACGATTGCAAATACAGTGGACCAACCTGGGCCGTTCTAGCCACAGCAGATAGCTCTCCTGTGATAGCGGCACTGTAGATTATCTTGCCTGATTCCTCATCGTACATGCTGATTTCACACTCGAAAAGGTACTGCGGGTTTACTTGGGGTTTATTTTCCTAACTTCATAAAAGGTTTTGTGCCTGAGAAGAATCTTGTGTTTTTCTTGTCCTCTGCATCACTATGAAGAACTCACTTGAAGTATCTTGCCCTCTATTTCGCTGCACTTACGGTACGCTCCAGCTGCCAGCTGGTGACTAGTACTTGTGTGCGTGCTGATGGCAGCTGAGCTTCTGAGGGGATTTGAATAAGAATCTGTATTTAATTGAAAAATGAGCGCGTGGGTATTGGATTCGTGAGAGCTAAAGAAGTGGGACCCCACAGTTATCAAAGTGAGCTCCTCTCTGCCGCAGCGTGGGCTTATCCTTCATCCGAAAGGGCTCATCTTGCAGGCAAAATTTCCTGCCCCTGCCTGGACAAGCTTCTCATCGTAATCTCCAACAAGACCCAGCTTTCTTTTGTAGCCGTTTCTTCACCAGGGGGGTTGTCGAGCACTGGAACAGGCTGCTGGAACGGAGTCACCGTCCCTGGAGGTGTTTAAAGGACATGTGAGTGTGGTGCTTAGGGACGTGGTTTAGTGATGGTAGTGCTGGGTTACGGTTGGACTCAATGGTCTTAAAGGTCTTTTCCAACTTAAACACTTCTGTGATTCTATATATAAGGGTTTTTTTAAAATTTGTTTCAGTGCCTGTAGACATTGACATCTGCAGCAGCGGCACCTGCCGCAAGAGGCAGACACTCCCAAGTAGAGATGTGTATCCGTCTGGTCCGGCTGAGCAGCCTGAAAGGACACAACACCCAAAGCACTCGGGATGAGAGTGTGAAATTCACTCTCCCGCGGTGAAAGAAAGCTCTTAAATTCAAGTTGGCATTTCTGATGCCGGTGCTGGCGGCAAGCGTCGGCTGCGGCAGGGTGTCGCTGATGGGATAAACGTCGCGGAAGCAGGAGGGGGGGTTTGTGGCGAAAACACGGGGTAGGAGCCAGGCTTGTTGGGTTTGGTTCACAGCTCAGCCACGGGCATCTCGCCTTCCACAAATCCCTCCGTGCTGGACTGTGAGCAGAGAGGGAGAGTCAGGAGCGGAGCGAGACAGGTGGGGCAGAGGTTCAGAGTTCAGGTCTCCGTCCCGCGTCAGATCGAGTCTCCAGTTGTGACTGGTGTGTGTGAAATGAGAACGACACCTCACTGGAGCATCAGGAAGGGGAGATACCAAAGGTTGTAAGGCTCTCAGGGAAGATACTAATTGGCCCTAGAAAAGTAGCTGATGCCGAAAGAGCCAGTGGGAAGTGAGGGTGCTCAGCACCTCCCTCGTCGCTCACGGTTTGGGTACCAAACCAGGGTTCACACGGCTGAATCGGGTGTTTTCACACGTCTGAGTCCTAATATTTGTCTGCACAGTAATAATGAAACAGGGTCCTGTGCTGTGCGTGGGGATTCTTTTACATTTACAAAGCGCTTTGAGGGTTGTTGACGGGCATGAAGTGCCCGTGATGTGGCAGTGCCGCAGGGCGCTGTCGTAATCCCGTCTCGTTTATTTTTAACTTACAAACAGCAGAGCTGCCACATGCGACTGGATGGAGGCACGTTTCTAACTCAGCCTTTTCGTTTAGCAGTGAGGAGAAAATACTAATATTCTTATATGAGGCCTTTAAATAGCGGTGTTTCTGAGATGAAAAAAGGATGTAAAAAGAGCTCACCCCAGGTTCCCTTATTATACTTCAAAACGGTTTTTCTTCAAGGATTTCTGTGGTGCTGCTCAAAGCCCTGGGTACCAGAAGGATGCCTTAGTTCCAGTCCCAACTAGATGCACACCTTCTTAAAGAGTCCCCTGTAGAAGACTCTTTAAGGCTCTGTGTTAAAATAACTGAACAAATAAATAGATAAAATGAACCAAAAGTTCCACTGTGCTTCCTCCAGCAAGAGACTCAAAACCAGTGGTTTAGAACTTTCGAATATGCACCTGTGGTCTTCCAAACTTTCAGACAAACTCTGAGATAAAATTAATGTGGTTTTCCTTAAAGGAAAAAGCAGAGAGCTTCCATGGAATTCTTGAGTTGTTTATTGTTTACACGTTGTTTTTACAAAAGAGCTGTTTTTCTGTTTACAAAAATAAATATCGGCTTTGACATTAACCTCAGGGATGCAAAGGAATTGTCAGAGAAATTACTGTAAGTCTGGAGGAAGACGGTCTTCCCGGGTTCGAGAGTAGGGAGGGTTTGCGTGACATCTGGCAGCATCTCTGAGGCCAACACGACACACAGGGCACGCGGCCATTTCGGGGGCCGGCCAGAAAAATAGTCTCCCGTCTTTTGAACTCGCACATCAGGGTTTTTCGGCTCAGCCCTTTCAAAGATGTGATTGCCCTTATTGCCGCAGCGCAATCACCAGAGCCCTTCTGATGGGATGCTCTTTAATCTTCATGCTCAGCTAGGCATCCTGCGTGGGATCAAATGGTTCTGCTCGCTGATAAGGATGATTGGAAAGAGCACTTAAAGGTAAAAGGCAAGTTTCTCAGGAAAGGATAAAACAAACCTTAAATCTATTAGGAAACAAATAAACAGCCAGCCCATACCCCCGCACTCAAGGCAGTTTCTGGTGGAGATAAAAGTTCACATTTAAAAGTGAGATGTTCTGTAATGTTTGCTGACAATAGCAGCCTGTTGCTGAAAAAAATGAGCAGAAAAAAGAGGGTTTAATGTATGGGATCTGTTAGTAGGTACGTAACTCCTAGTATGCATTTGATTATGCTGATTTTCTGTTATGATGGTAGAATATAATGAATGAATATCATCACTCTTTAAGGTATACACACACACAAAGACCATAAAAGTCCATCCTGCCGTACAGGAGAAGGGTTCCAGAAGAGAAAGGAGCTGTTTGAGGTTTCACTTGATGTTATAAAATCACTAGAAAAAAAACCCCACCTCTTTTATACCCAAGTAATAAGGTCACCCAAAAGGTGAAAAACGGGAGTTTACCGATGTGATGGGGAAATCTCTGCCTTTTTTGATTTGTTTCTCATTTTACTACTGGGACGCTGCATAGGGGCATGATGGGGGGCTGCAGTGGCAGAGGTGCTGCTGCATCTCTAGCATCTCTCACCTCCACATTCCGGTGAAGCTTTTTGCAGAATCGTAGAGTCATTAGGATGGAAAAGACCTTGAAGATCATCAAGTCCAACCATCACCCCAACCCCACTGTGCCCACTAAACCACATCCCCAGGTGCCACATCTACACGGTTTGTGAACACCTCCAGGGACGGTGACTCCACCACTGCCCTGGGCAGCCTGTTAATTAATTCTATTTCTTTTTAGCCAGAAGTGGTCTTCAGGTGGGAAGCACTGGATCCATCTCCACCTTTCACCCCCTTCTGGACCAACAGCTCTTGTGTCTGGCTGTTGGCCCCGTTTAATTGCGAACTGATTGAGAGCAGCAATGTTTTGTTCTGAGTGAAACGGGCCGGATTGGGTATTTCAGTCCACAGGCAGGTTGGGGTTTTTGGTCTGCTGTTCAAGATTCGCTCTGGGCCTCGCTGTTTGTTCCCTCTTGTCATCCGTCCCCGCTGGTTTACTTCTCAAGGAGCAAGCGTTGATTTGCACAGGCACTTGATATTTATGCGGTAGTGTATTAGTCACCACGAAGAAAGAGACATTGTTGATTTTTGCTGATTTGCTCTTGATCTTTCTCTGAGCCAAAAAAAGTAACTCCTCAAATGTAATCTCGAAACATGCTTAATTGCCTGGACATAGTTTTAAATGAATTCTGCCTCCCCAGTGCGAATTTACGTCACTATATTTAAAATTTAAAAATTAATTTCCAATAAAAAATTCGCTATATGGATTTATAAATAATGAGAAATATTTATATGGTAATATATTTCTGTTTAGCATTTTAGGTGAGACACAAAGCCCAAAAATACCATTCAGTTTTTGGTTGCAACCTTTGAAATGTCAAGCTGGCTTAAATAGTGGGTCCTGATTTGTAGCTGTCCTTCTTTTTTAACTGACTGTTATCAGCCATTAAATGAAATTAAATGCTCTGATCTTAAAAAAAAAAAAAAAAAAAAAAAAAGAAGAAAGAAAAAGGAAGAAAATGACCCTGGAAATCAGCAGCAATACAGCTGAACATAAACACCTTTGATGAAGGACTCTTTTGCAAGATTGGGACCAGTTTTATTTTTAGTTGAACGTTCACTAGAACTTGTTTTCAGTAACAAATTAATAAATGCACACATAGTTACAACAAGCTAATAGATCTCCCAGTTTACCTTCCTGCATGTTGCACACTGAAGAAATGAACCAAGGGACCACTTAATTGAATACAAAAACTTATATTTGATTAAAGCCTATCTCCAGAATTCAGCTGAAGTTCTAAAATGTCATTCCCAGATGATCTATTTACATTGGTTTTGAGGTTTGCTTATTATAATCAAGGACTTTATGTTATTTGGTGGCAGAATGATAATGGGAGATTAAAAAAGGACTCGAGGTAGCCAAAGTCCGTCCATTTTAGAATTAATAGTATTCATTTCACAGCAAGGAGCATTAACATGACTTGTCTTACTTGTAGTAACTAATTAGGTGTTTGAAACATTATAAAAGCATTTGTTACACACCTAAGAGATATATGGGAACTGTAATTATCTTTTTTTACATGCTGATCCTGTAATGTCGCATGATCTTCAGTCACTGGAAATTACATGTCGAAGCCTCCGTTTTACAAGACAGTGGATGACTTTAGTCAAGGTCTTTTATTTTTAGACTGTAATTTACGGCCAAGATGGGTTCGAAAAAGAAAACTCCAAATGTAAGGGCTCCTCATTCAAGGGGATTTGGTGCTTTTTAGGCGAATCCTGCGCTGCTGTGGCATCTGTCGCGCATTCGTCCCTCGCTGGTAAGCAGAAGCAGATGATGGGCTTCTGGACACGCGTGACGCTCATCTCGCCTGACTTCAGCCTGAGTGTGTGTCAGCGGGGCAGGTCACTGGAGCTCAAGGGAGAAAGGCGGCTACGTGTTTTACAGCATCCATCTGACGTGGTTTAGATACCTGTTTTACAAAGACTAGTGTAGGGCTGTTGTAAGGAGTTTTTTTCTCTTTGCTCTTTTACGGCGTCACAGAAGACGTCACTGCCAGGTGTGACATTGGCAGGCGGCTCGTTTAAACAAAAGGAATCATTTTTTTTCTCATGACTCATAATTACATTGGCCATGGGCTATCACAGAAACCAGAAACAACGGAGTCAGAGGGGGTTTGACGAGTTTGAAGGCGATGGACCCGTTTGGGTGTCTGTGATCACCTGGGTGCCAAAATTCCAGACACCTGCGAGCGGGAGCTCCATGCCAGGAGACCAACCAGACGTTTCTGCCCTGTGCCAGCGAAATAACCAGATTTTTCTGTCCTAAATTTCTGTTATCTGGCCGCTGCCAGGTTGTGAGATGGGGCTGGGTGGGCTGCTGGCTGTTCTCGCACCTCAGCCTGCCCTGAGGGAAACCTCAGCCCTTTGTTTTGCTTTGTTCGTCTTCATCTCAGTCCTGGGGTTTTTTTGCTTGGTTGGTTAGTATTCAGTCTTAGGAAAATCTGAAGCTTTTTTTTTTTGTACAGTGCGTTTCTTGGGGTTTTTAACTTACAAGATCTTCCCCTGCCCTATGGGCTTCTGATGTTGCGTCTCATAGCTCGAAAACCCGAGACGTAGGATGTAAAGCATATAAAGGTTTCATTTGCTCAGTGCTTTCCTGAGGTGCATGGAGACAACATGCTGGCTGGCCAAGAACCGGGAAACATCCCTCTCTGATGTTTCAGCATGGGCTGGGGACAGCCCAGAGCTTCTGCTGTTCAGTGCTGCCCCCAAACTGGAAGCCATCAGATGGCCAGAGTGCAGGGTTGGGCTCGAGCGAGCTAGCCTTGGAAGTGATGAGTGGATACTGTGGAAAGGGTGGGTGCTGCAGACACCCCCAGCCCCTGCCAGCCTTGGTGCTATTTCCAGAGCAGCAGAGTTTCACCTGCACTTACATTTATTTAGGAACAGTCTGGCCCGTCACTGCGGGCGATGAGCTCGTTGGGTTCTTCAGCTTGAGAGCACTGATGTATGTGGGTGGTTATACAGCTCCCGGTTTGCACAGAGGAGCGTCCTGGGCTTTAGTATCACCACTGAAATCCAGTGGAAGATGAGCCCTGGAGCTGCTGAGGTTGCATTTGAAGATGATTGCGTTAAGAGTCGAATCAAAGCGCTTCCTCGGATGTTTGGAGATGGCTGACGTTAGGATGCGGTGCAGCAAAGGCGGATCCGTTTTCTGCAAACGTTTTCTGTCTTAGCTGCGGTGGGATCCTGCATCTTAAAGGGTTTATGAGAATGTCGTGGCTGGTCAGTTCAGGTGTTTATGGCAGAAACCCCCCCCCGGCAGTACCGCTGCTTTCGGAGTCAGTCAGTTGGTTACAAATCCATTGGAGCTGTTTTCAACGCAACTGGGTTCCTGCTTCTGCAGCTCGCAAGTAGAAACCGGAGATAAGAGGCAAGAGAATAAAATTTATCTGAGCTGGTCAAGCACAGCTCAGCTTGCCCAGTTAGAAAGAGCAATGGCTCTGCCTGGCAGTGTCCTCGTCGGGGAGCCGCAGCCATCCACAGCTCTGCTTTCGCGTTATCAAGCGCTGCAGAAAACTTTTCCGCTGGAATAGAGGCATTAAACCTCCCGTTGGCTCTGCTAAGGGATGTTTTCCCCAGGGGATGTTCACCCAGGCTTTGTTCAGTCAGTCCTCGGAGGGCTGGAGCGACGGCGGAGCCTGGCGCTCGGAGGACGGGACCGTTCTTTGGTCTGAGAAATTTCATTTTGAGGAAACGGTCCCCGGAGGAACAATGACCTCTCTTCTCTGAGTCGCTGCTGTGCCTGTTGCAGCCCAGAGAACCACAGCAACGCTCTGTGAAGTTTGACAATTAGTTGATTCGGTCTTAAATTATGTTTTTTTCTGCAGCATGAAATCTGCCTTTTTTCTTGTGGTTAGCTTTTCAGAGCGCTTCGAGTGAAGGAGAGGAGCGAGGCACGCCACCCGTAATAAATCAGTTACAAAAGCAATTTTACCTACTTCTGTTTGCAGATTGTCCATGAAATGACTGTGATTTCATCCAATTTAAACCCTGCTTTACTGTTTAGGGATTGTGTTTTTGCCGGATAATCCCGCGTTAATGACTCTAGGTCTGTATCTTTCTCACCAATCGCTTCCCCTCACCGAGCAGCACAAAGCCACAGCTCGACAGAGCTCTGCTTGACCCAAGGCAGACAAGCCAGTGCTGGGACGCAGATATCCTTTTGGGTGCTTATGGTGCCAGCAGAAATTACAGGGCTCCTGCCGTGGGAGGATGGTGTCCTGCACGTCTCCCTGGCCAAGGAGCTGCCACCTCCCAACGTCTGGGAGCTTTACTTTGAGGACCACCACTGGCCACTTACCCTGGGACTTGCCACTGGGAGCAGCTGGTGGAGGAACATCTGTCAGGTTTTTTGCCGTGATAACGAAACTGCTGGCCGAGTTGGGCAGAAACAGAAACCTGGCTGATGCAGGCAATAGCGAGCTCTAGTGCTTCTTGAAACGAGCTCGGTGATGGGCACAAGGTGGGCTCCACGTCACTGCGCAGGAGGAGGAGGACTTGCTGCCCCCGTGCACCAGTTTCCCAGCAGCCGGTGGCCAAGTTTGCCTGCACGGGGTGGGGTCTGACCGGTTTTGGGCGTGAGGAGGAGGCAGGCTGCCCCTGGGCTGCTGGGGGGAGCACAGTGCAAACGGGGTTTCGGTTTAGACCCCTGAAATGGTGAGTGGTAGCCCCATCTTTTTATATTTTTTTTTTTTTTGGTGTGGTCCTATTGCCCGTGAGGCAGAGGCTGATGATGGTGCTGGTTTCGTAGGTGCAGCTGTAGGAGCAGCCCTGGCAAGGGCTCGCTTGGCAGAGCCATCCCAAGCCAGTTTTCATTAGCTGGATGTTTACAGTCCAATATGCATCTCACTTGCTGTGTCAGAGATGTGTTCCTTTATTGAATAGCCATTTCTTTCTGTCAATTTTCCTTTTTTGTTATATTAAGAAAGGCAAAGAACCAATACGCTATATACCTTATGAAGTGTTAAAATACAAGTCGTCTTTGTAGTGCTCGCAGCACTCCCGGTGGGCCCCATTACTTGAATTAGGCTTTTTAAAGTAAAAATCAAAAAAACCCCTGTAGACAAACAAGCCTCAAACTCAAGTTTGAGAAGTAATCATACCTTGCAGGCTACCAGCTGCGTAAGTAAGTAATGCATTAAGATCCAAATGCATTTTAAAATGTTTTGGGTTTTGTTTTGATATTTTTTAGGGAACGGGCAGTCAACACATCTCAGTCCGGGACACTTCAACTTACCGTGGGCAACCTGAAGCCGGAGGAGACCTACACCTTCCGAGTGGTGGCCTACAACGAGTGGGGACCAGGAGAGAGCTCGCAGCCCGTCAAGGTCGCCACGCAGCCAGAGCGTGAGTGTGCGCAGGAGCGGGGTCTCGGGGCGGGCGGCAGCGACGGCTGGAGCGATGAGCAGCACCCCTGCGGTTCCCGTGGCGCGTTGGTTTGAGGTGTTCACGTAGCTCCTCTTAGAAAATAGGGCCCAGTCCTTATGCACGGTAAATAAAACCTTTCCTCAGTCTGTAGTATTTCTTGCAGAGCATCTGGCTGCTCGGCGGCAGCGTGTTGCTGGTCCGCGCCGTGATTTTGGTGACCACACAGCCCATCTTCTGCTACGTGACAGCATAAGTGATGTCACAGGCTATGCTGTGGTACAGGAGGAGTTGGTTTTGTACATGAAAACGTGATAAACTTACTGAAAGATACGAAAACTTTCCACTGGAGTAAATGCTTCGGCTTATTCATATTTTCTATTAGTTAGTGTTTAGCAGTAAGTGCGTTTTATAAATCTTTGGAGCGGGTGGAACCTTTCAGTAGGTGCTTCTCTCATTTTGTACGTCTCATTTGATGGTAAATACCTGCACACGGGTGGCCTCCAGAAAGAAGAGAAATTTCTTCTGGTTGAGGCTGTCCTGTGGCAGTTTTTCGCGCTTGGAAGCTCCACGAAGGGCTGCTGCCGAGAAGGGATTGAAACGTTATTGAAACCCTTCCCTGGCAAAATTAATTACTCGGAAGAACTGGCTGTAAAAAAGGGATTGGCATCTAGTTCTTAGCACAGAGGAGGGTGCCGTGTCTGATCCTGATGGGCACTGGACTGCTTTGGTGAACCACAGGGGCGATAGTGGGATGCTGAGCTGCTTTTGTGCTCCGTCATTAAGCCCCTGCCAGAATACGCTCCCCTTCTGGAATAAGGTGGGAAATCTAACGCTTGACAGAAGCACAGAAACTGTTTTACATCGTCACACATTGCCACGTACGGAAATTTAACCGAAAGGCAGTATTTGTCTGAAAACCCCTCGTTGTGTGAAGATAACAGCTGTGCTGGAACCCCCTGAAATGTGTTTTCTTGATTCATTGCCGCAGGTGACTTGTTGCTGGAAGCAGGTAGAGGAGGTGGGAATGGCTCTCCACAGGGGGTGGAGGAGAAGAAGCGGAGCTTGGAAGCAAATCCAGTGATAAGACAAGCCTCCGGAGGTGGCTTTAGGCAGCTTTTGAACTGTTCAGTTCCTTTTACAGCTAAGCTCAGCCCCAGGAAAAGTCTCCGTTAGGGCCAGTGAGCGCATGGGCAGTGTCCCCTGACCAGGCAAGGGATGTTGTGACCAAGGAGAAAAGGAACCTTTCAACTTCCATTATTCTGCGGGTTTGTGTCTATAGCTTTGTTTATCACGAAACGTGAATCTTACTCCCTGTCATCACTCCCCAAACCCCCAAGAGCAGCGACGTTGGTGAAATAATCGCCCAAGATGTGTCGCTTTCTGGTTTTCTCTGGGTGGCTTTCCATTTTAGACACGTCTTCAATCCCTTGCTCTGCCACTTATTGCACTTCTTTGCAGTTATGCAGCACCTGTGTGCAAGGTTGTATCCCGGCCCTTTTTGGGGAAATGATTCTTGAAAGTTAAGTTTGTGAACCTGAGCTTTTTGAAAGTAAGGAATTGGGTAACGTAACCATCAGCATCATTTATCTGTTGGTGATTTCCCTTTGCTTAGACACCCACGCGCAAGTGCGCATATATTTTTCTGTAGATGTTTGTATATATTTTGTGTATATAGATTTACAGAAGTAAAATAACATTTCAGTCAGGAAAATGCCTTCTCCCTGACAAAGCCCCAGTGAAAAGCAGGCACCGCTACCCCCTGCTGTTACCACCTGAACCTGCCACGGCGCGGAGTTACCGGCTCTGTTCAATGCACAGGGTAGACGTTTGGAATATCTTTCCTATTTAATAACTTCCAGATTTCTCTGAAGTGTCAAGTTTGAGCATGGAGGAAAATATTGCTTTCCATTTTTCTTTTCGCTTTTTACTGTTGACCAAATTATCTTATCATTCTGAAACAAGCCTCTCTGGTCCTGGGAGGCAGGCAGCCGCTCTGTGGCTGTCTTTTAGAACATGCTGTAACTATTGTACAATAAATTACATGGCTGCACATAAATTGAATTTCCACATTATTTGAAAATATCAGAAGTATTATGCAATCTGGCATTGTTAAAGAAGAAAAAGCTGATGAAAAAGGACTTCTGAAATTCATGTCTGTCAGTGCCTGTTTCTAAAAGTGCATACATTTGCTCGGTAATCAGTTTAAAAGATCAACAGAACAAGTTCCAGCTTTTTGAAATAATCATCCAGAATGTATGGGCTGGATTTATAGGAAGGTTTTTTGTTCCCAGATTAACAGTGTGTGTCCCCCCCCCCCCCCCCCGCCTTTTTTTTTTTTTTGGTAAACTACAACCCCTTTTTCTCTGCCTTTATGGTATATAATTTCACTACGGTATTATCAGTCCGGATTTAAATCCCTGCCTGCTTAAGCCATGTCTAATCTTTTCATACCACATGTGGAGACTTTGTGAGTTATTATTTTGGCTCCTTGAGATGCTGTTAAAGCAGCTTGGTAGTTGAGAATAAAGAACCGCATCTATTCTCGCAAGGAGGATTGAAATTGTCCATCCCAGCTTTGAAAGCAGTTCCCTGCTGTGGGACCAGCTCACTTCTTTTCACAGCCCTTGCGAATTAAAACCGGCTTCCTAATAAATCTGTGTCTCCCTGATGTGTGTATTAGTTGGTGAAAGAGAAGATGAATAGGAAGGCATGTTGGTGTGCCCCAGAGAAACTTGACGGCATCGCTCCAGCCTCATAGTCGCCTCTTTTCATCTCCCTTCCAGTGAAATCAATTTAGTGGGCGCTGACGTCTCAACTTCCACCCCAGCATCTTTAAGGGCTTTATAAGGAATAATTAATTACTGTATCCTTCTGAGGCAGGGGAATATTATTATACCTACTTAAGAGAAGCCCAGCTGTGTCCCCATATGTCTGCCCCCTCCTGTGTTATGCTGCGAGGAGCGAATCTCTGACCCCCCGTGGTTGCCCCTGAGGCGGGCAGCAGCCGGGAGGAGCTGTGTTTCCCACCCCAGTGTCCTGAAAATGGAAATTCTGAAACCAATACAAGGATCTGGGGGGGGAATCTGTGTAGTGAGGGTGGCATTTTGCGGCAGCTAGAGGGTGATCTTACTTGCGTAGGAGACTTGGGTGGCTTTGGTCGCCGAGGTCCACGCCTGCCGAGATACTTTCACAATTTCTTTCAATTCCGCTTGGAGGCTGGTGCGTCTAACCTCACAAAACCAGTCGCTTTTGTCATTTCAGGATTCCATTTTTTCTGGTTGTTGTTTTTTTTTTAGTCACTGACTGGCTGCACCTGCATTTTCTTGCTAAGACAACTAGCAGCAAAAACTACCATCCGTCGTGCATTCAAGCAATTGCACCAGAAGCTACTAAAAGTTTTGGGGTGTGATGGTGGCTTTTTTTTTTTTTTTTTTTTTTGCTACAAGTTTTGCAGAGGAGGCAACATCCTTTGAAGTTATCGCACAGGAGATATTAAGAAGGCATAGACAAAATTTCCACAGCAATCTCTTTTACCATAACATTCCTTATACAAATGTCAAAACTGCGTAGAAAATTAAAAGGCCATTAGAATTAATGGAAGGAAATTTCACGTGAAAAAGCACGGGGAGGCAGGGGTGTCTTTAAAGCCCTCCCAGGTGACACTTTTATCAAGCAATAATCGGTTCCCATATATGTTGATCTGTGCAAATTAAGTTTGCAGAATAAACAGGCGCTGGAATAATTGGATTTTTCTGAAGACTTGTACCAGACCCACCCATTTTAGACACCGATGCGGAGGTGGTGCCAGGTCGTCCCTCTCAGGGCTGGCAAAGGGCCCCAGGCAGGGCCGAACCCTGCGGCTGTCGGCTGATGAGTATTTCAGGGGGCCTTTGCTCCCTGCTCGGCTGTTTTGGGTACCGGTTTCGGTCACAGTGGTGGTAACGTCGTCGCTGTAAATGACGGCGAACGATCTCATGATAGTCAGGGTCATGCTGACATGAGAGCCCTGCGGTGAGTTTGGGCGGGCGCTGCAGGGTAGCTGTAAAACCTCCTGCCAAAGGGGGTTTGGTCACGTTTTTGGGAGCAGGGAGATGAGAATCAATATTCTGGGCAGAGAAAAAGCTTGAGCTTGTTTCTAAGAAGTTGGGAAGGCTGGAGCCAAGGCTCTGGTGGCTTTGGGCAGATCGTTGAAGCCTCTTGGTTCCTCCATCTGGAGAATGTAAGTAGACAATGTTGATGAAAGGCTGGAGCAGATGATCTTCCGAGATCCCTTCCAACCTGGGCTATTCGTTGGATCTGTGACTTTCCTTCTCTCCTTCCTCGTGCCCAGGTACAGCTCTATCCGTGCTGCTTAAACAATGTCCTTCATGGCAGGAATTCCCCTTTCCGTCCTGTACTGATGGAACAAAAATCAGTGATTTTTAACAGGCCTGCAGCTAGTCCTGTCTGATGAGGGAGTCCCATCAGGAGCCTCCCCTGCTGCACCGCCCGTCGCAGTGACAAACTGAGGACGTGGCACTCCTGCTCTCCATCACTCCGTTTAGGATGACGTCACATCTGTTATTTTAAAGTAAAATGAAAGAGCTGGGGCAGACGGAAACATAAGCAATGCCCGGCGTAGTGCCTCCGTAGTGGATTTTTCTTGTCGTTCGATGAAAGGGTGAAGCAGTGCTACAAAAATGTGTTCTGTGGAGTCATTAATATCCTCCTCATTTGTGTGTATTCTTCCATAATGGCTCAGTAAAATACACCCTGGGGTAACTTTATGCCATTCTTGCATGGTTCTTTAATTTTATGAGTAATTTATGTGGAGCGTTGGCGAGGCGGGGGGAAAGGGGGAAGTTTTGAATTGCTTTAAATTTCAATGAAATGTATCTTCCTTTCTCAAAGTTGGGCAGACCTAAAGGAAAAGGTGGTGATGTCTGTTTTTCTGTCTGTCTTTGATTCCTGCTATTGGTTCCCTGTCCACTTTTTTTTTC